TTGAACAAAAAAACAAAAAACCCAAAAATTTTTTAAATACCTGTACTGTAGTCCTACCATAGAGAATTACTCATGGCTGGTGGTAACCGTCTGTGGTATGCGGCGTTGAAGTTCCAATGGTAGATTCGAGATGGATTTTGAATCTTGATTCAGTAGAGTTGTATCCTGCAAGGTCCCCACTTGTGAAGGCTTACTCAGCCCTGAAACAACTTCAGACAGTTTACCAGGCTGGCCCCCTCCTCAGGAAAATTTTAGTGAATAGAAAAAGAAATAATAACAGACAAAACATAAACACTTTATATGTAGAAAATATAGAATGTAAAACACTTAAATATGAAATATTAATCCTACATTAAAGAAAATGAAAAATGAAAAATATAAATAACTGAATTCAACGCTAATTTAAAACTTGGGTGTCTGGTGTTGGTGACACTGTGTTGTTGAAATCTTAGCCGTTGCTGATGATGGGGGGGGGGGGGGCAGGTGTTGGTGACCACCACTGGCTAGTTCTTCACAGAGAATCGCCGTGATTATTATCCTGATGACAGGAAAGCAGGTTCTTTACCGCTGCAATGATGTAGGGTTACATCCTGCAATTTCATACGGGTGCACAGGTAGTTCAATACGAAAGGGGGAAAGTCTCTGGACGTTAGCCCTTCTCCTGTTCTTCTCGTTGATTGACAGGTGACCCTCACTGTCATCCAAGCTGAAAAGATAGACAGGTTACCCACTGCTTAAATAATCACTCTCCATGGCAGTGTACATTACTCAAAAGACGTGGGTGATTATTAAACGTCAACCTAAGCAAGACTGAAAGGACTAAGTTTAATATTGGTCAAAAGTGACGTTTTTAACCAATAAATCCACTAGAATAAAAGGCAGGCATGTATTACAGTAGTGTTGGGAGCTGTGAGTCGAGTGATTTAATGTTTGACCAGAGCCCCCACCACACCTTTCGAGGGGGGGGGAAGAGGGAGGGGAAGGGATAGCGGGAGCTAGACTGACCCTACGTTAACAAGCAGCCGGCAATCAAACTATCACTTTAGGGGTGGGGGAGAAAAGGCGGGAAAAACGGGAGCGTGACTTACCCTACCTTAACTAGTAGCCGGCAATGAAACTATCGTTACTATATCTCTACTCCTATCTATTGAACTTTTCCCTCACACTATTTACTTTTATATTATTTAAAAACCAATACAGTTTAACATCAAAATAAACATATGGATATCAATCAAATAACTGACAAACGGATTGCACCTATATGCTCGCAAGATATTGCTGCTAAATATACAACAAGAACTTACGGCTAGAACATAGCTAAAAAAAAAATACTGTCACAGGGTCATGAGTTGACATATATACACATTCATTGATGCAAAACCTTGCTTTTATATAAATTGTACATATAACATGACATCTGACAAAGGCTCAATACACTTGAACATAAAATATACAAAGAAGTTATATCAGTTAAATCCCCCTCCTTCGCATTAATCAAAAAACCAAAACCTAACATCATAATCTTACTAGAACATCTAAAAAACGCATCCCTAACATACAGTTTACATATACCAAATACG